TGTTCTATGTTGAAAAGACAACCAAATTTTGAAGATCGTAGGATAAAAGTAACCACCACATTTTAAGCTAATGTTAGCAAAAGTACATATACAGTATACGTCACTTTGGTTGTCTTTTCGACATTGACAAGCCTAGCACATAGTATATCTAAATACAGGCACAGAGCAAAACAAGGCTCGGCTTAGAAAGGGTCAATTATCATCCGACTCTGCAATTCCCCTCAGCTCTGCAAAGCATATCACCGCCTTTCCACTTATAGTTTAGTTTTTACAGCGTGCAGCTTTATAGTTTTGTTTCATTCCTCCCACTTTAATCGTCATCAAAAACAGACCTTAAGAGGAGAATAAATATTGGACTTACATCTGGCAGATGTCCAGAAACATGGCTCCAACAAATACTAATGTTGCTCTATATTTGCAGTTTATGTAGGTTTAAAAACATTTTAATCTAAGTAACAAATAGGATACCATGCCACTAGAAACTCTTTTTACAGAAAAAAAAAGGATGTTGAATGATGAATTTCATGAACACTTGGCTTTAAATGTGATACATAGATGGTCACATCTTGAGCCAACTTGTGCTCATACAGGAAAATAAGTATTTGGTCTTTCGTTGGACTTTTAAAGGTAGCTTTTGGAGTTTTACACCACAGGTGGCACTATGGAGAAAACATTTGTAGAGCAGGTTTTTTTTTTTTTTGTATCTTGTGTTTCTAGCATGCACACCAAAACCTGGGCTGTTATTTAATCAAGGATATAGGTTGAAGATGAGAGGTATGGAGCATGTGTGAGAGAATGTTGAGCAGAGTACAGTGAAGTGCAAGAGAATATTATTATAACTACTATAACATCATCTTAATCAATTAATCAAATGGCAAATGTAACAAAAGAAACATAAATCCATCGATATTCTATAATGGTTTGTTCTTCTTTGTCTCAAGAGGCTTGGGCTTATCTCAGCATCCACTGCACACTGGGCGAGAGCCAGGCTACACCCTGGACTGCTCACTATTTCACAAGACTAACACACATAGACAGATAACCACATTCACAATCACATATGGTTAATTTAGAGTTGTGAGCCTAAGCTATGCAGCATGTCTTTGGACTGCCAACAAAAGAAGCAGCCGTTCCAGGAGAGAGAAATACGTTGAACAAAATGGACACACCAAATCAATAAAAAAATATACATTAGAATACATAAAAATGTGCTAAAATAAATTGAATTTAATACATAAAAACTCTATCTATTGCAATAAAAGTAACATTTGTATAAAAGATGACTGAGATGGGGGAATGTTGAGACCACCACAGATTTGATAATAGACCTTTTTCATGAAGGACATTTTGACATGTCACAGTAAAAAAAAACAGATTGTTTGCTGTTTTGATTTTTGCTCCTGGCACTGTGCATTAACCTGACTGCGCCAGATGGTTTATTACACAAAACCATTTAGGAATTTGTCGTCGGAAAATATCGTTGATCTATTACGGGTAAACTTAAACTAATCAGATCAATAAACCATAATGTATTGAAACTCTTACTGAAGCCAGTTGGGAGTAAACATCTTTTAAATCAAAAAAAGCCTTCAGCGCCGTTCTTTGCTCTTCTTTTACTGAAGAAATACTCACTTGTTCTGATATAACTAATGCTAGCAGCGTCTACATTAACCTATGGGAGCCGCCACTTGTCCAGTACCACTGTAGTTACCACAAACGCATAGATTGAAGCCTGGCAAGATGGATCAAGCTGCCTTGCAACGTTATTTGTGCATTAGGCCTGCAAAATATGAAGAAACTCCGTGATGTGCGATAGACAGCACACTAGCTATTAGCTGAGCTAGCAGAGTTAGATGAGAGACGTGTTTATATAAATGCTTGTTGAACAGGTGTACTGATAGTGTTGCCTTTTTACTCACAAATGTTTTATTGTACTTGCAAACGATAATGAGCGTAGTTGTCATCAATTAGTAATTTTCGAATTGACTTTGCTTTATTCACTTCACTGCTCTTTGTGTCTGTGTGTGTATATATGGAGAAGCTCAGCCCAGAAAAAAAGCCAGAAGAGAAGGTGGAGCATGATAATAAATGCAGTCTTTAGCTCCTGGGCCTGTTTAATACTAGGGTTCTGTACCCATCCCTAAATAAAATGATTTTTCTTATTCATTGCATTTCAAGCTGTCTTTTGCAATGTGTTCATTGCGCATGTTCATTCCCTAGTGTGCATTCTGCCTCACTATCACACTGTCATGGCTTACTGGGACACTTCAACCGAAGTGAGCCATTATTATTGTTATTATTAATACCTGTGCTTTTCCTACTTTAAAAATCAATTCAAAATGTCTGCTACAAAAAATGCCTTTCTAAAAAATGTCATTGCCACTGGAAAAAATATAGTCATTCCAGGTAATACACTGATATAAAAGCTCATCACCATTTAAGACATAATCCATCTCCCAAACCCATAATTTGTACCTTTGCCATATTCGCAGCCATACGACAGCGGTGAAAGGAGGGTCCTGAGGTTCAGATTAAAAAGTGGAAGTACATTCATTTGTTTGACGGTGTGTGCATGAGGCATGAAAACAGACATGAACCTAAGTTCACATTTATGAATATTTATAACTATTATCATTGTCTTTTGGTTATGTAACTTTTAGTTGATGCTGCTCCAGAGATTCCTTGTTTTGACAACTTGACATTGGGGATATAAACATTCTTTGGCAGGTTTAAATGTTACATAACTGTCAAATGCTTTTATCACTGTGCCTAGACTAAAGTTTTATGTAATAGTGTGATTACAGTAGGGTTGGGCAATTTTCTAACCGGCCACTGTCAGTCCAACAATCAGTAATTGCCTATATATTCCTATACAGCCCCCCAATCGCCACCCCAGTAGATTCAGCTTGTATTAGAGGTGAGCAGTGAGTTTACTACGTGTGACAAGGTCTAACAGCTTTAATAAAGAAAATAAACACCTATTTTCTAAATTAAACAGAAAATACAACTACATTAAAGTTTTTCTCTTATTAATGTTGTTAACCAATCTTAAAACACACTTCATTCAAATCTGACAGGAACAAATGAAACTGACCAAACCGTCTTTATTAGTCTTTACACTGTTCCAACAATCAGCAACTCTAACAGTGTTAGACCCGAACATATTCTGGCTCTACGCGCTGTCACTCCCTCTCTGATGCCCTCGATCTCCCTCGCTGCTCTGCACTTCTCTCTTTCTTCAGAGGGAGACCATTAAATTAGCAAAATAAAATGACAAAAATCGGCCCAAAAAAAACAACCAGCAATGGCCAATTGCTGATAGCTGATATATTTGTCCAATCGCCCAACTCTATATTACAGTTAAAACAGTAACACACAACGGTCATATTCATTCATAATGTTTAATTCATGGTTATGTCAGTTTCTATGGCATAGTCATGACAGTGTTATGCATACCCCTTCAAATAAAGTGTCACCAAAGGTGTTTTGAGGGTGAGAGAGGATGAGGTGGGGCTGTGAGCAGGATTCGAGAGAACGCGGAGGTGGATAGAGCGAGAAGATGGTGCACAGAGGAGAGGGGAGAGACAGAAATAGAGAAGGTGGTGGGATGTGCAAGGAGAGGTGAGGCAGAGAAAGTCAACAACAGAATAGGTGCGAAACATGAGACTTGAAGCCTGAAAAGTTTTAATTTAGGGAAAAAGTGAAATGGAAGAAGAGGAGAAAGCTGTAAAAACAGCCAGGTTTATTCACAATAAGTTAACAAGAAGAGATAAAGCACTTGACATCCATAGAAGTGATATGAGGTTCCTAAATAATTTTTTGCAAGTGCAAGAGAGAGGATAAGATGGTGAACATGCAGGAAGTCCAGAGCGGAGAGAATGTACACTTCCTCAGTATATTTAAACCGATAGCAAATCCTTACGCATCGTAGTCGTAAAGCTGTAATATTGTGATGGAAACAATACTGATACAATACAAGAATACAGCAGTGGGTGCAAGGTTGGATCAAGTGATAACTCAGGTCTCCCACCAATCACTTCCTAACCAGCTTTCTACTCCACCTGCTAACAATTGGTAATTGCATAATTTAAATGTTAAAATTCCCCCACCCTCACAGCATCCCATCAATAAGAGCTACTATAATATAGCAAGAGGTACATCATTGTATAAGCTGTGCAGCCGTAGCTCTGCCTTCATCGTACTTTGAGAGATTTAAAGATCTTAAGCTCCACACCAGACTTCTTGTCTACAAAGTCATTACTCTTTGCACCAACTATATCAGTACCTGAAATGCTTCCAATCAAAAAGCTTTAATATCAGCTGGGAGGACAAACACTGAAGCCTTGTTTTCACTGCATGGTACAGCCTGGCTTGACTTAACTCAACTCACTTTTGGTATAAGGTACTTTTTGTTTTCCACTGCAGACAGTACCCCCTCGATGTAGGTGGGATTCTTCTGATCATCACAAACACAGGAACAATGGAGGATATTGAAGGCTTCTCGGTATGTGGCTGTTCGTCACAGCACGGAGAAAAACTTTGTTTCAGAAGACATTAAGCAAGTGACAATTCTCTCAGACCAATTCACTCCACCTTTTAGTATAGGCTCAACTTGCATGGAACCTTGAACATGGTGATACCAAAAAAATACCAGTAAGTTGGCAATGTAAAACAACAATTCCAAACAAGTTGAGTCGACTCAAGCTGAGTCATACCATGCAGTGGAAAGGAGGCAGTCATAACACTATATGGCACTCCTTTTTGAAACTGTAGTTATGACATTCCATGTAAAAGGATTTTTAGAGAGACGAAGGTCCAAACACCAGCAACCACCCCCACATATGACACTGTGGAAGACCACATGAAGACTGTCACACTTGCCTGGAAACTGTCAACGATTGTGTGTTTCTGTATGTATTTGCCATGCTACACATGCATTTTTAACTGATTCTATGTATATCCACAACCACATTTCTTAGGAGTAGGTGTTCATAACTTACCATAACTGAGATGTGCAGCAGATGCATGTGTTCATGTAGGACATGAGCAGGCTCCCGGGCTGTGGGTTGTGTAGTTTGGGCTAGAAGCTCAGACTCAGTCATGGACACATGGAAGTACAGTGTCCCATTTTCCAGCCACTGTTGCTTCCAGTGTACCTGAGAAATATCTTCTGCTGTACCTGACATCTCTGAAGAGGATAAGGAAAGAGAAAAAAAGGAAACGGTTTGTGAGATCAACATTTAACCCATGACATTTAAACTGTGTAAGAAATACATGTTTTCCTAACTTTATTGTGTGAACATTTTAATGAAAAAATATTTAAAATAGCCTGTGAATAAAATAAGACAAAGTTCAAATGAGACCGTTAGGTTATGCATTAGCATTCTAGTGCAGTACTCTGTCTCGCACATCAACACTGTGCTGTAACTTAAAACCCTGAACTCTTGAATAGCTGGACAGATTTCTTGGGCTGTCATAATTTTGCGCGTTTCTGCAGTTGGCTTGGTAAGAATTACTGTCAAGCCATTATATTACTTAGCTGCTTTGATGAAATCTTTATGATGACAACTTTTTCACCCATGGTATTAGTCAGAGATTTGTCTAAATTCGAAATTAATAAGTGGCAAGCATCATAAATGTTTCAGCTATCACAATCAATATAGCACTTCAATCATAGACAAAATGAGTCACAGATGGGAAAGACTTATTCCTCTTATTATCCATTTGTTTACACTCCTCTTTTTTGTCAGGCAAGAAACACAGACATAAAAATCTCTACAAATAGAAAGACAATGGACTTTCAAGCCCTATTAAATTCACATGTCCAAAGTAGCTGTAGAAATGCTGTCTCGCCATTCAGTGTCCTCTTCTTATCTGCATAAATCGTCCTATATTTTCTACCAATATAAAACCATTAGCTTCAGGCCAGCGCTGGCATTAAGTATCCAACATCAAAGGAAAGCTGGAAACATTTAAAAGCAAAGGAGAGAGAAATGAAAAAAGAAAGAGAAAAAAGACCCAATTGCAATTTATGGGGCAAAGGAAAAAGGAGATGAAAAAGAGCAGAGGGATCACCAGTTTATCTCGATATGGATCATGGCACAAGAATCTAATGTTATCAAGTGGGAGTGGTTGTTCAGTAGCGAAGTACTGAGAAGCCTCAGGGAGCCTCAGATTGCGAGTCTTGATACAGTATTTGTCATGTGGCTGGGTGACAAGGGCATAGACATTTGCTGACATCTCCTATCAGCGGCAGGTAGCAAAATGACAAATGGCTTTCTGTACAGCTGGTTATTAACCCACTGACTCTGGGTCAGAGGACATGGATTCCAGGGGAGGGTTTTGTGAGCTATGCTCAATGGTGCCCTGGCCCTTCAGGTGCAGGAAGAGAGCATGCAGAACAGACATCCCCTCAGAAAATGACAGAACTCATGACATAATGTATATGGACCTCATATTATAATGCTTAATTTACAAGTAGGTAACATCACTTAAATACAGTCAATGTAGGGCTCCAATTCAATTCACATTTATTTTCCTTAATATTTCCTTTATCCTTTTCCCTATGTGATTTGATTTTTACATTTTCAATTCATCAATTAATTATTTAGTCTATAAAATGTCAGAAAATAGCGACCAGCACGAAGTCCAGTTTAATGGTGGCAAGACTTGACTTAATTCCGTCTCACCAAGAGCCCAAGTGTTAAAAATATACAATTTGTACTTAATATAAAATGGAGGAAAAAAATCCCCACATTTGCAAATGTGTTTTTTTATTGATTATATAATTGATAATTAATCAATGATAAAAACATTTCAAAAACATTTCTGTCAAATTCATTATCTGAGCATTCAGACAATGTACATATTATCTTCCAATACACTCTCTGAAAGTACACTTTCATCCTCCCTCTTGTACAGTAATAGTGAGGTGTTCCATACTTTTGCTGACTACACCTTATGATAAAATTTTGTGGGGTGTGAAATTCTTAAATACCATAACTGCTGGCTATTCAGCTCTTTATGTTTAATCTGCGGGCTGAAGAGACGCTGCTTGACCTTTCACCTTGACATTAGATAAAGCTTCATACTGCTGGGCCAACAGTGAGGTGCCTTCTGCCATCTGTTACTGTTTTAAACAGAGCTTATCAAACTCCTGTCAAATTTAGCTTGGAAGTTTGCTCACATTTCAGATAGCTTTAAATAACTCTGATTATGCATAACATTGACACTTATTTTGATCAAAATCAAAAGTGATTTTCAGGTGAAAAACTGTAAAGTGAGTCTTGCAGTAATAGAAGCAATCACACGCAGGATGGATGGACAGTAACAGAGTTTCAAGCGCTGTTACCTACCTCCGTATGATTGTTATGTAGATGAGGAAGCTCAGTAAGCACGCTACTTAAAGGCAAAAGCATTGTGTGTGTGCGTGTGTGTGTGCCCTTGTCTTTTGTGCTATGAGGCTTGTCATTGGGCAACAAGCCAGACGTTACTGAGATATAGGTGCATGGCCTCAAGGTCTGCTTGTAATTCATTAGAAGGAACATTATTAATGTGTACGTGTGCATGACTGTGTGTGTGTGTATGTGTCTACTGTATTTGCGTGACAAAAGCCAGTATGCTCCCAGCTAAAGTGTCAGCAATACAGTGTCTCCCATACAGAGTTCAAGGACAACCCAAGATAATGCCAGAGTGAACATTTCATAGATCCAGGAAAATGTCTCCATTAATTGTTTAGATTACGTCACAGAGAAATGCTGACACATTATGATGCTTGGATCCTCACAGGGTAAAACAGCTCTTTATTTAGAGTTATCATTGTGGCTATAAGGCTCCTTTAAACAAAAGACAAAAAAGACATTATGGGTATGGCAAAAATGAGAGACTAACTGTTTTGCTATAACTATAAATACATTTTGTTTTCTTTACATTACTGCTGGCCATTTTTCAAAGCATATATGTAGTGTGCCAGTGTAGAAGTTTGAAATTAGTTTTCTTCCTTGCAAGCAGCCAATGATTTCTTTAAAAAAAATATCATCAGCGAACATACGCATGTTCTGTTAAAGTGATTTTGGGGAACGTTACTATGGCTTTTAGGAGTAGCCATTTTCAAAAATCTTCTCAGTGATTCATTTCATCCGCTGAATAACATTTTAATAATGAGCTTTTGAGAAACAAGAATATGGGAAAATTATCATGTGGATTTCTTGCTTTAAAAAAGATTGCAGTTAGCAAACAAAACGCAAAGTATCCAGATTATTCAGTCCAATTGTACCAACAGGACATGATTTCATAACAACCACAATTGTGACACCTGAAATGAACTGAAGAAAACTGCCGTATGAAATGAAGAATTTAACTGAAAATGTATGGCATGCTTTTGAAAATAGTTGTCCGCAAGAAGTCTAACAGTAATGTAAAGAATACAGGATGTAATCTGTTGTCATGGACCTTGAAAGCAAAACTGCTAATGTATCAGCTCATTCTCAGGAATCTGTGCTGAATACTGTGCACACTTAAATATTTCTCCTAATTGTTCTCCATTGGCTAATGATGAAAGCTGTTGGTTTAGTCTCCTTTCACTTTTCATGAAGTTTGCATAACAGCCAGGCCAGAGATATTGAAAGCTTGGCCCAAATCCTTGATAAAACCTTCTCACTCTCACTCTTCTAAGTCCTCTCCGCAGGTGCTAAAGATATGAGTACAAATCTATTGAACAGCCAATGTCAGCAGAACTCTTATTACAAGAGCTGGTGATCATACAAGTGCTCACTCTGTGTCTTACTGTGGTTTTCTTTATCCTTTTTCTTTTAGCTGTCTGTTTCATCTTTTCTCTTTAACATTGGCCAGGTTTGGCTATAAGTGTTATATAGTTTATAAGTTCAGTTTTGAGTTCACTGTAGTTTTCACATTTTTTAAATTAAGCCTTGAGGTAGAGTGATATCCACTTAGCACAGCCTCTCAGAGTTGGGTATTTGATGAGATGAGGTTTCCCATGACCACAGAGTACAAACAAGAAGGGCTGGGAGCCACCACACAGCCGAACCCTAACCCTCAATACCCGCAAAAACACCAAAGACAAAGTTTTACCCATAAGTACCTGTATGCGCTAATTCTGGATTTAATCGTTAAAATTAAATCGGCTACAGGGGAACACCAGAGGAGTGAACATACATCTGTAGGTGGCTTACATATAAATCATAACAAATTGTTGTATTTTCCAAATCCAGTCTGCCACCTCTATCAAACCTGAATTACACTGTAATGTTAGCAGCTGCATGTTGCACACTGAAATTAAACAGAGACCACCCTGATTAGCAAAGCGTTGATCACTGAGCCTAACACATTATTCACTGAACCAACGATAAACATGAACATGTGTTAACAAAGTGAGCTGTCTCACCTTAAACCAGGTGTTACTTTGCTTTCCTTTGTACAGATATCCATCAATGTACTAAATATCAGCATACTGAGCAGATGTGATCTAACCGCCATCTCGTTATAAGTTGTTTTCTTTTTGAAAAGGCAGCTGTTTTCAGCAACTAAGCTCTAAAAATTGTATACTACCTGTTCAGCACCAAACACAATAAATTAGGGACAAGCCCTCAACAAATTATAGGTGGTGGAGACCAATCCAGAGCCAAAAGTGGTTCACTATAAAAACTTTATATTTGGCCAATATATTTGCCCCCTTTGGCGAATTTCCCCATTGGCCAAAAATGTATTTACTCTATCCCAGACCTAAGTTACTCTACAAAGCTGATTTGATGTTAAAAGTTAAATCCACCCTAAACTGAATATACATTTGCTGTTCCAGCATTTCAACATCTGAATTAGTAAGGATTAGTAGTTCATAACGCTGAACAAGAGGGGGAAAAACTGGTAATGATGTGATCAAGAGACAAATCCTGGAGCTGCTCCACTGATCGCGAACAGCAGAAAAATTCCTATAACGCCATGATGGTACCCATGGTGATTTTACTAGGATATGGGTATATTTTCTGAATCACAGCTGGAACTCATTTAAATAGAATGTCTGAAAAATTCTATGAGCCCACAGAGTCAAAATCTAATTCTGTGTCAATGGACCATCCCAAAAACGTATTACCTGAATACATCTTCAATTCAATCCCCAATGCCCTTATTTCCAGCTAGGGAGATGGTAGTCTGCGTTTGGAGATATCTTAC